GTGGGGCCCACGGATTTTAATGGTCCAAATCCGTGGACCCCACGGACTTATAAATCCCACATGTTGATGTGGGATTTGGACTATGGCATAAATCCTTGATGAGATTTTACCCATATACCCTCATGCACTTTTAATATTCCAAGGTTGCCCTCAAATTTAACTATTATTATAATTAACAATAAATGAATAATATAAACGTTCAATTAATGTGCAAACATGAGTTAGATTTTTTATATCATTTCTTGTGTTCTAGTTTTCTTTGACCTTTTCATGGAACGTGTAATTCTTTGTTCTCCCGATTCTAATATATGTTGTTATGTGTCACTTTTGAAAAGGAGGACAAAGAATTGGTAATTGATTATGTTACGTTAAAAGTTAAAACGGAATTTTCTCGTTTATTATTATTGTCCATGTGACAACATTATGCTTATTAGTATGTATTGTCCTTGTTTTGTGTACATATCATAAACATGTCAAACATATAGAAAATGACAGTAAGGTAATTTTGATATTTTGTCCTTGTTTTGTGTACATATCATAAACATGTCAAACATATAGAAAAGGGCAGTAATGTAATTTTTGACTTCAAGTAGTAAATCCCACACCTTTAAATCCTTGATAAAAACATCCCAACAAACAAAGTATTGTTACAAATCCATGATGCCTCAAATCCTTGATAAATCCTTGGGTTTTTAAATTACAAAACCCTCATTTTTAAATCCATGAAGCAAACGACCCCTAAGATTCCTTGCCATCCAATCTGTCAATTTAAGACCAATAGTTAGAGTTGATTCAGAAAACCCAAGCGCTTGCCATACCTGGGTAGCCGACACACAATGGCGCAAAATGTGTTCTGTGGATTCAGGGGCCTCTTTGCACATCTCGCAAGTATCTCGAACGCTGATCCTTCGCCTTTTCCTCTCGCAATTCGTCATCAATCGGTTGAGGAAGGCTAGCCAGAGAAAATGCCGAATTCTGTTAGGGCCATCCCATCTCCAAATAGCTTTCCAGGTAGGAGTTGCAGTGGTTGAGGCCGCATCCTCATCCCCTTTGCTACACCAATCCGCCGCTACGGTATAAGCAGATCTTAGCCGAAACTTCCCATCTTGCTCCATCCCCCATGACGTCTGATCCTCACCCAATTCTTCGTTTGGCGCATCAAGCCCTGCAATGAGAAGATTAATGGAGTTAGGAAGAAAATCTTTAAACCGCGACCAATTCCACTCATCTGGGCTAATGGTCATCTCTGCAACAGAGGCGTTCCAGTCTACAGCATCGCCATGTTCATCTGCATAGTCCTTCAGGTACACTCCATCGGCGACCCAAGCAATGTGCCAGAAGTTGACACTTTTCCCATTCCTAATATCCCACACGGTTCCTTGTTTCACAAGTGGGAGGGCTTCTAAGATCCCTTTCCAAAGTCTAGAGACCCGTTGTTGACGCATCGACACGCTTCCATTGTCGTTAGTTTTGACGTACTTGTCGTGCAAAACTCGGACCCAAAGAGGTTTTTCATCATTAAGGAATATCCAACCTAGCTTCATCAAGTAAGCCAGATTGAGCGCCCGAGCCGAGCGAAGACCCAGGCCCCCTTCCTCCTTCGGTTTACACACATTCTCCCACGAGACTAGGTGAGCTTTGGTGTGTCCTTCTTCGGCTCCCCAAACAAACCTCCTGATCTTTCTATCGATCTCCTCACAGATGTGACATGGGAGGACAGCCGTTTGCATCACGTAGTTCGGGAGGGCGTTCAGGACCGAGAGGGAAAGGGTGACACGACCTGCTAAAGAGAGGCTCCGAGTCTTCCACCCCGCCAGACGTTTGTCTATCTTCTCCAGAACAAACTTGTAAGTGTCCTTAGTAACACGACCATGGAGCACCGGTACACCAAGATATCTGCCCAGGTTATCGGTCTGCTTCATGCCCAGTAATCTACTAATACTTCTCTTTCTCTGCTCCCTGGTATTCTTCGAGAAGAAGATACACGACTTATCCTTGCTCACTTCCTCTCCAGAGGCAGCACAGAACCTGTCAAGGCAATCGAGAACAGCCCTCCCCTGCTCAGTATCAGCTTCAGCGAAAAGAACTAGATCATCTGCAAAAAAGAGGTGCGTCAGTGCAGGACCATTATTAGATAAGTGCAGAGGCCCCCAGTCTCCGTTGCCAACAGACTCTTTAATACAGTGATTCAAACGTTCAATGCATAAAGTAAAAAGATAGGGAGAGAGAGGACATCCCTGTCTTAGACCTCGTGACGGTGTGAATGAGTCCGTACAGCTACCATTCCAAAGAACCTGGAAACTAGAAGTTGTAACACACGCCATGATCAGATTGATGAAATCAGTAGGAAGGCTAGCCGCAACCAGGGTGGAACGCATGAATTCCCAGTTGACTCTGTCATACGCCTTGGCTAAATCAATTTTCAGAACCATGTTCCCACGACGACCCTTAAGCTGGCTGAAAGAGTGGACCACCTCCTGCAGGATAATAATGTTGTCCGTGATGTGCCTATTGGGAACGAAACTGGTTTGGTTCTCGTCGATCAGCTGGGGAAGGATATTTCTCTGGCGATCTGCCAGGCACTTAGCTAGCACCTTGTAGCTCACATTACAGAGCCCAATAGGTCGAAACTGACCCAAAGACGATGGAGAGTCAACCTTGGGCAGCAAAGAAAGGAGGGTCATGTTGCAACTGGCAATGCGATTTGGTTCCTTGAAGCACTGGACTAAATGACGGTGGAAATCCTTGCCAATAGAAGCCCAGCATTTTTGATAAAACACCGCATGGAACCCATCCTTACCCGGGGCCTTTAGACCACCCATCGCCTTTATGATCCTGCAGGTTTCTTCTTCCGTGGGAATCGCACTCTCCTCAATCGCCGGGAACATGGCCACTAAGAGAGGCCTTATACCAATATCCTCGGTGAAAAGAGAGATGTAGAAGTCCCTAGCCATATCTTCCAATAATTGGGGATCTTCCACCCAGGTTCCATCCGTAGCTTTAAGTTTAGAGATCTTGTTCCGACGGCGTCTAGTCAAGGCAGCAGTATGGAAGTACGAAGTATTCTTATCCCCAAAGTTGATCCATCCCGCTCTCGCTTTCTGAATCCAGAGCAGCTCTTCCTGCCATAAGGTTTGCTCCAATTCGTCGCGAAGAGAAGCCTCTAGTTGAAGGCCATAGGGATCGGGTGAGGAGTCATTCCTGACTTCGGCAGTAGCAAGGCGCTTGGTGAGTGTGGCCTTCCTCATAAAAATGTTACCGAAGACCTCCCTATTCCAGGTTGAGAGAGTTTGTTGAAGGTCTTGGAGGGAGTCGATGAAATCAGCACCATGCTTCCAAGAGTTCTCGAGCGTGGGCTGAAAATCTTTGTGAGTGAGCCACGGGGCAAGAAATCTGAAAGGCCTCTTCTGCTTTTTATGAGGTTGGTCGTTGGACGAGCAAATGAGAATGGGTCTGTGGTCTGAACGAAGCCGCGGTAAGTGATTAATGATCGTCTCCGGGAAACAACTCATCCATTCGGCATTGCAAATAGCCCGATCCAGTCTAGAAAAGAGATTTCCCCTGACCCAGGTGAACCGTGGCCCTCTGAATTCCGCATCTAACAGCCCACAGTCATCAATGCACCTGTTAAAATTAGCAGAATTTGAAGGATTATAAGCCGCCCCACCGATTCTCTCTGAAGGCCCTCGAATGGAATTAAAGTCGCCAGCCAAAAGCCAAGGTTCAGAGATGTTCTGCTCCAGATTTCTAAGAGCATCCCACAGCGGCAGCCGATCATGATCATTAAGCTTAGCATAGACCGCCGTAAGGAGCACTGCTCGATTATCCTGCACATTCACACAACGAAAATGGAGCATCTGAGAATTACGATCTAGAACAGAGATGGAAAAGACAACAGAATTACACAGAACCCAAATGCCCCCCCGAAAATCCCACAGCCTCTACCATCTCATGCTTATCAAAACCATTTTACTAATAACCTCCAACGCATCCTTGCCACTGATACGAGGCTCAACGATGAAAATCAAGTTAGGGCGATGGGAAAACACATAATCTTTGAAAATCGCCAAAAATTTGGGGTTTTTAGCCCCACGACAATTCCAAGAAAACAACTTAATCATAGGAAATGGAGAGGATGGGAAGAGAAGGCGCCCGAGCGCTAGGTTTCAGTGGCCGATTGGCCCCCGATCACTTCGATGACCGGCGGAGAGGCAAAGGCCGGGTCGTTGTTGTCTGCCATCGCCAAGTCATTCACTTTGCCAACATCCGAATGCATGTTTCCCTCGGAAGGCTTTTTCATGGTGTTCATGAACTCAGTAATGGACTGAGGATTGATTGGGAAGTTGGGCGTCTTGGACAAATCTTGCAGAAGCTTCCTCGCCTTTTGGGAATTCTGGGTCAGCGGCTTTTTAGACGACTCTTTCATGAATTTTGGCTTGATTTCCCTCGCCGAGGTTTGCTGAGATTTCGGTTTCTGGGAACGGTGGCGAATCGAAGATGTCGGCCAATTGGGGTCGATGTTCTCTTTCGTTGTCGGTTGAGATGGAGATGGGAACATCGGGATATCAGTACCATGGACTGGGCTCAAATTCCCCGCAGCCACATTTTGGTCCGCCGAAAGGTCTGATGGGCTTGGCCCAGCCTGTAAACCTGACTTGAGAACATCTCCGTGGGTTAGCGGCCTTTTCTCACTTTCCTTCAACCCAACGGGCTGCCATTCCTGAGTAATCGTTCCAATATTCTCTGGCAAAAGAGTCGTTACCGTTCCCCGCTATTTTCCCTTTCGGATTTGGGGCATTGCCTTTCTTGTCTTCTGCCTTAGATGTCGCCTTTCCTTTTCCTTCCTTTCCTAAGCTGGGCCTGACCAGATCACCCTTTTCTTGTTGATTTGCTTTTTGATTGACTTTCCCTGAAGTACCCCCTCGGCCAGAGTCTCCGCCCTGAGTACTGGCCGCAGTCTGCGCTGCTTTCCTATTCTGTCTTTTACTCCTCCTCGTCACTTACATCCACGGCCCGTAACCGACGGGAGACTCCGACGACGGTGACGATCCTTCAATGGGAAGAACATGGGTTTTTGTTGTCAAAGAGACGTTAGGAACATTACACACTTTCTTGGAGCAAGACTCCTCGGTATGGCCTATCCTGCCACACTCAAAACAAATCTCCGGTACGTTCTCATAGAGCACCGGTTGCCAGAACCCGTCCAGCCGGATCCGAGTTGCCATTGGCTTCGTCATGTCTAATTCCACCGCTATCCGAGCAAACTTCCCACGTTCCATATTTTCCGTATGATAATCGAGCTTTACCGTTCTGCCAATAAGGTTCCCCAAGGCAAAAAGGACCTCCCGATGGTAAAAATGGACCGGAAGCTCCGGCAGTTGGATCCAAGCTACAACCGATTTGTGGGGTTTATCAGCAGTTCTGAAGGACGGCGACCATTGGTGGACAACAAGATAGTGATCAAGTATTGTGCATGGCCCCCCGGTGAGAGCGTGAAGGAAATCTTGATCGTTATGGAACGTGACCAGAAAAGTTCTGTCATTCAGATCCAGGATGTCCAGCCTTCCGGTTTGGCGCCATTCCCATCGGAGTTGGGAACACAAATAAGCATAGGAGATCGAACGCCCAAGCAGTCTGACTACAAGAGTTTTCTTCCAAGGAGAGCAGAGACGATCCTTAAGCTTTTCAGAAACCTTGAGCTCCGGCTCACCACCAAATAGCCCGGGTTCGAGATCGTGTTCTCCGACGAAAGTCCATTGATTTTGCTTGGGCGGTGTGGTATGTGATGGACCGGCGAGAGCCATCTTGAAGTTGAGCGGAGGGAAGCTCGCCGGATCAGGGATCACGGGTTGCTATGGAGGAGGCAAGGAAGAGCCTGGATCCAGTGGACGTCCAGCCTGAGGTGGGACAGTCGCCGGAGGGGAAGAACTTTCCGGAGCGCTACAGAGCATTTCGAGAGCGCTAATGACCAAAACTGTAATTTGTAAATAAAACACTACAAAAGGCAACGCAGAGTAGGGGTGGGCATCTTGTTCGGTAAACCCGAACCGAACCGAACTTGAATCGAAATGAAACCATACTAATATTGTTTGGTTCGGAATTTGGAAGAGGAATGGACATAATTCGGAAACCAGGGTTCTTTCAACTGAACTGAGATTCCGAATTTCGAACCGAAAAATGGTAAGTGAGCCCAATACTCAACCCAACTCATCCCCCAAAGTCCAAATTCCACAACTCCCTAAGGCCTTTCTGTCTCTCTGGCTTTTGACAACCAACCACAAACCCAAGTCCTTAAGCCCAATCTCCTCACATCTATCCACTCTGACTCTCCATCACAGCCCAACCCCCAAAACCCCAACCCTAATCTTCATCTACGACCTAAGAGAAGAGAGTCTCCTTCAATCCAATATTGTCGCCTGGAGATGGATGAAAAGACAAGGAGATCGAACTCAATTCGCCCAGATCCAACATCCAGTGACCCATCTCTCGTCGACGCTCGCTGGAGAAGACGATCTGAAGGTGAGGAAAGAAAGAAGGCAAAGAAGTTGCCGACGACTTTGGCGGCGGAGGAAGCAAGCAACGACTTTGGCAGTAGAGGATGCTGCCGACCAATGCCCTCCCTCTCCATTCTATTCTCCTCGCTCTGATCTTCGGCGACAGAGAACACAAATCCCGGGAGGGATCCTCAACGATGGAGGGAGCTTTCCTCGTCTTCAATCGAGCCACCAATAACCACATGCAAGTGATGCTACCCATAACTTCGTCGCCGTTGTTGTCGGCCGAAGTCTTCAACTGTAATTGGCGGCGTGCTCTCCTCGGTGAAGCGGCGGCATGCTCTTTCCCTCAAAGTTCCTAGCGAGAGAGAATGGGGAAAAGAAGAGAGACGGAGAGGAAGAAAATAAAAAATGGCCTAGGAAGAGAGGGATGGGACATGAGACGAGGGATAGGCGGAGAGCAAAGTTGGGTTTTGTGTGAAAGAGGATTTTTTTTTACAAAAGGGAAGGAGGATTGTGAAATTTAGGGTTTTTTGGTATACCGAGCCGAACCGACATATATTTCGGTCTGGAGGAATTTGGGGACTCAGTATGCTCTATTTCGGTTCAATTTTGACAGAATCGAACCGATGCCCACCCCTAATGTAGAGGAATGGGGAAATAGAGGGGAAAGGGAAAATGAGTAGTTACTATAACACCCTTAGTAAAATTATTAGCATAATGCTAACACTTAAGGGTGTTAGCATCCTATCTGGTTTCGGAATAAACTATTTTCAATCAGTTGCAGGTGTTAATATTGTGAACTTTTTGGCGTAAAGTTTTTCTCTCTCGTTTAGCGGGAGTTTCGCTTGGAAATTTAATCATGTTTTCCATTGATTGCTAGATTTTTGTGAGAATTACGATTATTTATCCCAAACCGCCATTACAGAACAATGTTTAGCTATCCTAGATATTTTCATTTTAATTATTGGAAAGGTTCGATCGAGATAAGGTAATTTTTGGAGGCCCCTAACACTATAAAATAATATGTTAATCTTCAAGATGGGACCTGTTCCACAAGCAAAGAATTGAGGAGTTCTGATGACATGTAAATTACACTATTCTAGACCCCTAGTTAACGATATGTTTTACATGGTTCTCGCACATTTGTTGTCATAATTACTTGAATTTTCTCAAAGGTGCATTTGGTAGCCTTTAGGGTTGTTTTCACACATGTGATGCCTTTTTGGGTAGTTATGGTGTATTTTACAGCCAAAGCATCATAGTAGCTCATGATGGAATGAAAGAGGGAGAGTATACAAGCATATGTGATCAAACTGGACCTAATTTTCAGTTCTGACGAGGGAGAAAACACCAAGACAAGTTGACAATCCGAAGCAGACCAAGCACAAAGACGACGACGTAAGCGCCATTTCATACTATGGACCGCCAAAATGAACACCATTTTGAGGAAATCGTGCTTTGATAACTCGAAAGTTCTAACCTAGGAACTTGAAGCGCAAGATGAGAAAGAAGTGGTAACAGAGGAGTTTCATTCCGTAGGCTGTTGTTTCCGGCGCCATTTTGGAGAGACGAGGTATAATAGCTAATTTTCCTAGAGCAGAAGGCAGACATCGTCTTTTAACATTCTGCTAGTGTTTAGCTGCAAAAAAATGAGCATAAATCTCCTTGGAGGCACTAAGGAAGAGCAAGAAGTGAAGATCACAAAGGGATTTCTCCATGATGACCCTCACACCTTCTTCTCTTGTAACTTTTCTTGTAGTTATGGATAGCTAAACTCATAGACTATTAAGACAATATAGAACCCTAGGGGTGATGGATGTATTGGATTATGTGATTGACTAAATTTTGATTCATTGATCTATGTTCTGTGAGTATTTTTCATACCACATTTGTCTTTATAATTGAAGCTATCTAATAGACATAAGAAGGATTAGCAGTGGCGTAGCCAGACATCGAGTCCACTGGGGTCCTTAAAATTTTACTAACATAAATTCTTGTGTACCTAATGAATTTTGAGTTAACCGGGGTCCTTGGTGAGCTAACATCGTTGAGAGTATGGGGTCCTAAACTTGAATTATCGTACTAAAACCTATGTATTTAAAGGATTTTGTTGCCCAATTATTTGCCAAGTGGGGTCCTAGGACCCCTCTCCTCCTTACCTCCCTCCGCCACTGAGGATTAGGGATTGGGAATTTAGGAATTTGGAATTGAGGAATTGAGAGAAGAAATTAGGGATTGGGTTCAATATTATGATATATTCATAATAATCTTTTGAATGAGGTTCACCTCCTTAAATAGTAGTTCTAAAAGTAACTAATAATAATAACCGGAACCACCCAGCCACATACGACTCAAATCGACCCGTCCACTATGCCCGAACCGTCCGTGCTTCCATCATCCCTCCCCTCTTCAGATCCGAAATTGCCCTCAATGTCAAACACGTGTAACACTACGCTAGAGTGGCGGTCTCCTCCCACGTGACATCCTCCGGAGCTAGCTGTTTCCACAACACCAAGCTTTCTTCCACAAACCGGCCTCCCTTACGTCTCCACTGCATCTCAAGTATCTTCAAGGGAGTCAGCTCAAGGTCTCCATCAGAACTAATCCGAGGGGCGGTCATCTCCGCGCGATCCGCCGGTCCACGATACCTCCCAATAACGACACATGGAATGTCGGATGGATGCGGGAGTCCGACGGTAACTGCAGTCTATATGCCACCGGATTGACTTTATGCATTATTTCATAGGGTCCAAAGAAAAGGACGGCGAGCTTCTAGTAAGCTCTCCGGAAGACTGATGTCTTGCGATACGGATGCAGCCGGAGTAACACCAGATCACCCACTACAAACTCCTCCTCTTGCCGACCCAAATCCGCAGCCTATATATGCTAGAATATAGTTTTGAACACTCTTTAATGCACAAATGTACATGTAAACCCCAAGATCTAGGGAGACAAATGAGTGTTATCATTGCCATTTGGTGATAAATTTCAAATGGGCAGAAGCTATTAGTTCCTCAATTACGAGGTAAATAATCAAAGCTAAAATAAAGCAAGAAATTACTCGGCTCTTGTGCCTATAATCTATATACAGTATAACCTCTTTAAATTAATAATTGATAAATTAATAACCTAGTATAAATTAATAATTTCTCCGGTCCCGACTTGTGCCCGTGTAAAAAATGAGAAAATTTAATAAAATAATAAGATAATAATTTTTGAGAACCAACCTACATAAATACATGTATTTTTAACTCTATAAATTAATATTTATAAAAATACAGTTCATCTAGAAATTTATAATATAGCTAGGATAATCTAGAAAAATACGAATATATAGTTGTTTATTTATTCTTGAAGTTAAAGTCTAATAGAGGTTCATCTTGAACTTTCCTCATTGCACTCGAAGTCTCCGGTGTTGTCTTCTCTAATTGCATAAAGTAATTTTGAAGAGTCGATGCTGCTTTAAGGTGTTGAATCGTCATCTCCTTCATCCTCAATTGAACCCTCAATGACATCAGTCACAATTTCTTCTAACGTTTGTGCCGTGATACACTCATCATTTTCACCTGAATACTCCAACAAATGACTTACATTCATCTTGGTATGATAACCCATACCATTAAATATATGATGAGCGTACATCATAAGAAAACTTCTTCAAATTAATAATTAATAATTTATCGATTAATTAATAACTACTGTAAATTAATAATTTTTACTGGGGTTAATTGCATGGTTGGTCACTCAAATTACAAAAAACGTTCATGTTTGGTCACTCGAAATATTTAATTCCATTCTTGGTCACTAAAATTAGTTAAAGAGTTCAAGTTTGGTCACTCTCCGTCCATCTCCGTTAACTTTTGCTTATGTGGCAGTCAACTCTTACAATTGACCGTTAAATGTGCCACGTGGCAATTTAAAAATTAATTAAAATAAAAAATTTAATTTTTTAAATTTCCACCTCATTATCACAATTATTAAAAAAATAAAAATATTAAAACTAATTTCTTCTAATCTCCATACCCTACCGACCAAACCCCGATGCCGTTGGAGTTACCTACTCCGCCGCCGCACTACCGCCGCCGCCGCCCAGCGAATTCCAGTCGCAGTTCATCTTCGTCCTCGCAGCACCTCCCGCCTCCCGGAGACCATCGCCTCAGCGGTGGTGGCTCTTGGATTCCTCTAGGTGCTCCGTCGAGAAGCTCCGCCAGCCACCAGCTCCTCATCTCCGAGGTGAACAGGCTGGTAGAATTTCTCTTGAACGGTCGATACCGGACAGGTACTGACCGCCGTGGGAAAACTATGATTTGAAAATTGAAACCATCCGTGTTTCGCCAATCGATGAATATGCATGATATTGCACCTCAACGAACTTGGAGATTGTTCATCTCTGTTTTCATGAAAAGAAACAGAGCAAAAACAAAGTATTATATTATAAGGTAAGGTTTCCCCTGTTCAAATTCCAATTGGCTTAATTATGCAGATCCCTTGCAGAACATCCCTAACCCTCATACTCCTGCTACTGCTACAACTACAACTCCTACCTTCACTTTCATAACAGCTCCAATTACGACACAAAACCCGACTGTCTCTCCAGGCCGGCCTTCCCAGCTACTGTCAGCGGTTACTACCGCCTCAACCACAACAACCACGCCTTGCTCCCCCAACTCCTCTTCTTCGGGGAAGCACCCGACGTACATGGGGATCTGGGCCCGGAGCGGGAAGTGAGGCTTGGAGATCCGGGAGCCCAAAAAGTCGACCCGGATATGGGTGGGGATGGGACATCGTTGCATGCCAACGTGGTGATAGTGATACTGCGAAGGGTTTCGTCGGCGAGAAGAAGCTGTAGAACATCTTCCGATTGAAATATTTCGGGGAAAATGTCGTGGGGAGTCCGGACAACGTCGTTCCGCTCTACAGAATCTCCGTCTTCAATTCAAAATCCCCTCCACGCCCTACTACACTATGTACTATATATTCACTCTCCCCTCAAATCCACCATTGATTTGAACCAACCCAAACTCAACCCACACCTCCCCCAACAACAAATCACCGCCGCCATGGCCTTCTCAATCCGCCACTCTGTTTCCCTTCCCCTCTTCATCTTCCTAATTTCCCTTCTACCAGAACAGCACTGTCTCGCCTCGAAGCCGCCTCGCCAGATTTTCGCCCTGAAAACAGAGACCCACCAGCGGATTCCCAATTCTAGGCTGTTCCAGACCCTCGCCGCGGGTTCCAAATCCGACAAGATGCTCCTCCACCACAACGTCTCCCTCACCGTCTCCCTCACATTCGGGTCGCCGCCGCAGGCCGTGACGATGGTGCTTGACACGGGTAGCGAGCTTTCCTGGCTCCATTGCAAGAAAACCCCGGGAATTAAAGGTTTGGGATGAGATTTGGGTGGGTTGTCTTTGATTTAGGGGATTTTCATTGACGGGGAGCTCGTGGAGAGGTGGCCGGCGTGAGTGAAGCCGCAGATGGACGGTTGAGGTTCAGCCGAGCATGGAAATTAGAAGAAAAGAAATTAGGTGTTTTATAATTTTTATTTTTTATTAGTTGGAATAATGAGTTGGAAATTTAAAATTTAAAATATTATTTTTAATTAATTTTTAAATTGCCACGTGGCACATTTAACGGTCAATTGTAAGAGTTGACTGCCACATAAGCAAAAGTTAACGGAGATGGACGGAGAGTGACCGAACTTGAACTCTTTAACTAATTTTAGTGACCAAGAATGGAATTAAATATTTCGAGTGACCAAACATGAACGTTTTTTGTAATTTGAGTGACCAACCGTGCAATTAACCCATTTTTACTGTTCCAATTATATTATTTTATAGAAGTTATACTGTATGTTCTTACTATCTCTCGTCTTTGTCATCTATTATCAAAGCTAGTTGGGGGACCAGGTAAGTTTGTATGTGTAATGAATCAACCTCTTAGGTCTCCTCCAATTCTTGCGAGAATTTTTTTTGAATCTTTGCGCAAAAGAGAAGCATGAATTTTTTAGAAATAATAGACATTTTGGAGAAGTAAACCAATGCTTTAGAAAAGCACAACAAGAAAATAATCATTTGGCAACCACAAAAAATGGTCTTAAAATCCAGAAAAATGGTCGTCGTAAATTTCAGCGACCAAATTTTCGAGTCACCACTCACCAGAGTGGTCGTCTATAGCTCGTCGTCTACAGCGACCCACAACTGAAATGGTCGTCATAAAGAATATATTTGACGGCCATATTTGGTGGTCGTGAAATCTAACATCTATGGCGGCCACCTCTTTTGGTCGCTTGGAAAGACTTTTTCGCGGCCATATAGATGGTCGTTGAATGCATTAACAATCGACGACCAACACATAATAGTCGCCAATGGTTATCTCAGGCGATCAATTACTCGCCGCCGATTACCCCTTCAGCGACCATTACAGAGTGCTGCAACAGTAAGGAAATGTAGAAGCATTGAATGGTTCAAGAGAGGTGACACAATTCTCATAGTGCATGCTGCATGCAAATCTTATTAAGAGTACACAATTCTCATAGTGCATGCTGCATGCAAATCTTATTAATAGTACATGCTAGCATATTTAACTTTGTGGCATCTCTTGCTCTTGGCTGCACAAATATTGAGATCCCATGCCATATATTCATTTAGCTCCCACAACAATAACTAGTTTTCACTACAAAAAAGAGGAGGTTTGGGGATGACAAAAGTCGTCCCCGGAAATAGGAAAAATCGTCCCTAGAGTTTTTGGGGACGACTAAGTCGTCTCCAATAAGTGGTTCCCTATACTCTTGTCCTCTATTTTTTTGGGGACGACAAAAATGTAGGTCGTCCCCATTACTAGGGACGACAGTCGTCCTCGATACGCGCAAGTCACCGTCTCGTTTCTTGTCCATGAAGGACAATATGTCGTCCCCATAGTTATAACTTTAGCGACAACAAGTCGTCCCCATAGCTATAACTTTAGCGACAATAAGTTGTCCCCTAAACATCATTTCTAGGGACAAACTGTTGTCCCACATAATTGATTTCATAATTGCATTGGACCAATATGGGGATAATTTGTTGTCCCCTTTTCTTTTTATAAGATCGACGTGTCGTCCCTATAGGTGTCAAATTGGAGTCCATAATTCGTCCCCAAAAGCTTTCTTCAAGGACTACGAGTGGTTTCCTATACTATATCTTTAGAGACGACAAGTTGTCACCTATGACTTTTAGGGCAAACAATTGTCCCTAAACTTGTGTATTGGGGGACGAGGAGTTGTAACTTATACGCCTTTTGGGAACAACTAATTGTCCCCTATGTAACTCGTATGAATGACCTATTGTCCCTTAGCATGTGTCTTTGGGAACGACTAATTGTTCCCTGTATCACTTGTGGGGACGATCAATTGTCCCTTAAACTATATTTTTTGGGACGCCTAATTGTCACTTATTAACTGGTAGGGACCGCCAATCATCCCTTAACAAGTGTCTTTAGGGGCGTCAATTTGTAACGTACATAACTTTTAGGGACGAACAATTGTCTTTAGCCTTTATCTTTGGGGACGACTCATTGTCACCCATATAATATTTTGGGACACCATGTTGTCCCTTAAGTGGTAGCATAAGGGACGCTGAAATCTCGTCTACATAAATTATAGGGACGACTAGGGGTCACTTAAACGGTGTCTTTGGGGACGAGAGATTGTCACATTTGTAATTTATGGAGACGATCATGTGTCCCTTCACCAATATCTTAGGAGGCGACAATATAGCAAAATGTCATAAAATCATCTCCATAAAAGTGCAATAAAACTAAACTACTACAATGTCATCTCATCCAACACTAGAAAAACCAACATTCATAGTTTTAAAGGATAACCATTCTCTCGTGAAACTAGAAAAATACTAAAAAATAATAGATAACAAGTTCTAAATCCATGAATTGTTCTATTATCTCTCTTGACAAAAGTACTAACACTTAACTACTCTTTCTACCGCGCTTCCACCAACAAACTTCATTCTTCTCTTAGCTCCCTGAAAGTAAAATTAGAATTAGAAAAAATTTAAAATTTAAATATATGGCAAGAATATCAATTGAATGAAATGGAGGCACATACTCAATTTAGAAAAGAAAAGCTATAAAATTCGTAACAATTTAAGGCTATGAAACAAATTAGTACTATACATATAGGATCACAAAAAGAATTAAAAAAACACGTTGAAGTTGTAGCTTGTAAATTTGGAACTCAAACTACCATAAAAGAAGAGTACTGATTCCAATTTACTAGCTAAGTTAGCTAGCTTCTTTGAATCAAAAGAAGACTCTTGAGTACCTATTTTTCTTTCTTGAGTTTGAAACCTGCTTGCATGGTGCACTTCGTTTCTTTTCTGCGCGTCTAGCCTGTAGAACGAATTTGAACGAGAATGTTCGTAATTTAAATATATTTAACCTTCAACCTTAATATTAAATTTCATACCTTGTTAGAACATTCATCCCTTGTATAATCTTCTCCATTTGTCTCTTCCGGAGTGAGAGCATCCTCCATCTAATTTTATGAGTGTGTCAATTTGATTGTGATCTTGTAAATATAATGAAACAATTCATGTATGTAACAAGATAGAAAATTGACTACTTACATGTCCACTGCGAGAAGATGATTCATGCCTTTCATTTTCTACCATTTCCATAAATTTTTCGAACCTTTGGGTCAAGGCCAGATTGTGTTTGGCTTGATATGCTAATCTTGCAGTTAGGTCACCAACTTGAGCCTCCAGTTGCTCTATCTTTCCATTTTGATTGTTTGTATTCATTCCCTTTGTAGTTGACTTGTACCCAGTTCCTTTTCCACGAACATAGCCAGAACGAGCACCAAAGACCACTCTCAAGACATCCTCATTATCATTAACAGTCTCATCCACAGGCATGACTTCTTCTTCTGTTATTCTTATCTCATGCTAAAATGAATTAAAAATTACTACCATGTTATTTCAAGCATAGTTGGAAAAAAATTGGCAGATTAATTAGAACCAAAACACTTACATAATAATTCTCTGATGAACTATCAACCCACTTTCGCTCATTATTTGCATTCAAAGTACTATGTTGTGCCATCCAAACTTCCGATGCAGGTGGTAGTTTTCCAGTTTCCTCGTCAATCTAATGTCATACATGTAAACTTTAGTCTATAAGAAGCAACAAAAACATGAATTGGCATCCAACAAAATAAAAAAAAACAACATTTACCATATCATATTCTGTTTGTGCGAATGGTGTTGGTCCAGTACAGGCAATGACCTTTTGATTTGAGCGATTGTTAGCATTTTTCAAGCTAAGAGCCTGCACATGAAGAGTTTAAATTGAACACACTTTTTACTGCTAAAATCCACAATAATAACAAGAATACTACCTTAAATTCCGGTGATGCAAAAAGTTGCAACATTTGTAGCCAATCTTCTGCAGATAATCCTTCAGGGATATCCTTCATTGGTAGAAGCCTCCTAATTGCTAAGGGGAGAAGTCGCTGCATAAACACGTGGCAATCGTGACTCTTCATGCCAGAGATTTTTCTCTCCTTCATGTTGACACATCTAGAAATTTTTGACAAAAATCCATCGGGAGTCTTTATGTTTGTCACCATCCTGCACAACACTTCCTTCTCTTCCTTCGATAGCGTATAAAGTGCAATCGGGAGACGAGTTCTGCCTCCAACCTCCACTGGATGTAGTTTTTCTCGAATTCCCAGTTGTACCAAGTCCAATCTACTTTTGTAAGAATCTTTTGACTTTCCCTTGATATCCATTATGGTCCCTAGCACATTATCGCACACATTTTTCTCAATGTGCATGACGTCAAGGTTGTGGCGGATAAGGAGATTCTTCCAATAAGGCAGCTAAAAAAAATGCTTTTTTTCCTCAAATTTTCCCAACTATTAGTAGCATCATAGTTGACAGGATTTTCTTTCCTCCCAAAAGGTACTTGCGTGAAAGAGCAGCATTTCATAAGCACCTCATCTCCTGATAATGGATTTGGTTTTGCCCTGACCTCTCTTTCCCCATTGAATGCTGCAACATTCTTTCGCCATTTGTGATTAGGTGCCAACCACCTTCGGTGGGTGAGCCATGTAGCACAACTTATTCGACCCTTTCAAATACAGCACGCTAGTGTCAGCTTGACATGAAGGACAAGTCTTATAACCTTTCGTAGACCATCTCGAGAAATCAGCATAAGCTGGAAAGTCACTAATAGTCCATAGAATCGAAGCACGCAACTGAAAGTTCTTCTTGGAATGTGCATCGTACGTGCTAACTCCATCTTCCCATAAATCCTTCAAATCCTTGATCATAGGTTGCAAGAATACATCGATACCCATACCTGGGCTATGAGGACCAGGTATTATCATTGACATGATAAAATATGGTTGTTTCATGCACAACCAAGGAGGCAGGTTATAGGGAATAAGAACCACTGGCCATATACTATGTTGGGAGCTCATGTTGCCAAAAGGTTGGAAGCCATTAGTTGCTGCACCCAGTCTAACGTTTCTAGGATCAGATGCAAAATATGGGTATGTCTCATCAAATGACTTCCACGCAGGAGTATCAGCGGGATGTCGCATTATACCATCATCACTTCTGCCCTCCTTATGCCACCTCATCTCAGAAGTTGTTTTACTTGACATAAACAACCTCTGCAACCTAGGCTTCAATGGAAAATATCGTAATACCTTGTGTGGTTTTCCCTTCCCCTTGCTGTCTATAGATGCATATCTAGGCAATTTACAAACTGGGCACGATGTTGCATCTTTATGAGGACCCCAGTATAATGTGCAACTCTTCTCGCAGACATCGTACTTCTCATAACCAAGGCCTAATTCAGAAATATACTTACGAGCACTACTGAACGACTCGGGCAAATTAACCTTGCCATCAGGAATTAAGACCCTCAAAATGTCAAGTAAGTCGTCGAATGACTTGTTAGTCCACTTGTGAATACTTTTAAGATGAAGCAGTTTCACAATTGTCGATAGTTTAGTGTACTCACAGTTCGGGTACAATTTTTCCTTAGCCTCTTGGAGCAAGCGATAGAAGGTAGTAGCATCTTGATTAGGTTCTTCTTCGGCATCTTCTGTGTCCATTGCCAAGTCTTCTTCTTCATCTCTCCTGCCATACACGTCATGTAACAATCCATCCATATCATCAAGAGTATCTTCGAGCATATGGTCTTCATTCGGTTCTTGGCTACTTGTCGACTCCTGCGTATTACAGGCACCTTCTCCATGGAAGTTCCAAGTTGTATAACTCTCCAACATCCCATGTTTTAGCAGATGGAATTGAACATCTGATCGACCTTTATATGCAGCGTTTCGACACTTTGTACAAGGACAACGAATGGCTTCTTTGTTGGCGGAACGAGAAAATGCGAAATCAATAAACGCATTAACGCCTTGGAAGAATCCAGGTTCTCTCCGGTTCCGTATGCTCATCCAATCCTTATTCGGAATCATCTCCTATTATAAAATATAAATTACCAATTATGACACAAACAAATAAATAAATATAAAAAATGAATCATGACACCAAAAATAAATAGATGACATGATGAAAGAAACACTAAAAATAAAATAATTAATGGGTTGTGCAATTCAAGCATATGATTATTTGAATCTATGCACTTTTGGTGCGTATAGACATAGGAAGAGGCTAAACTTTTCTATCAATGGTAAAAATTTGGGGAAGGGAATGATTTTTTAGCTATGATTAAGTAAAGCAATATTTACCCTAACTAAAGCTTGTTTCTCGTAACATATATATTTTCCATCCCTGAGTAAAGATTTATATATGCTAAGTACAGCCTTAAGTAAAGCAAGCATTTAGTATAACCAAAGATAACTTTGCCCAACATAATTGGGGGAGGGGATGATTAATTGAAACTTGAGAGAAACGACAAGCAGGGATGATGCTATAAAAACTCTAATTACAAGAAATTAGTTTACCGGAAGTTATAAATATGCTGATGGTATTGTGCTAGCTCTTCCAACTCTTCAGCTTCCTCCTTTGCTAGTATCAATATTTTTGTATGAAGGTAGTAGAATTTGATGTTCAGCTCAACAAAACTCACCTATTTATAATGTAACAATAACAATCAAAACATGACTAGGAAAATCATAAACCTACCAATAAAACTCCTAATTCAAACATAACAAGGAAAAAGTAACTCTTCCCACGTTTCAATAGTTAGGAGGAAAACAATAAAAAAATAAAGATGGGGAAGACAACTCCAAAACAGAAAAGGAACTTCGCAACCTTTGATGAAATTTGTGGGGACGAAAAAAATTGATACCCATCAATCTTTTATCCGCTTGCTTTGTAACCTGGGCCGCTAATGGGTCAAGTCCCGGTAGATTCTTTTCCAGGGACAGCTAAACAAAATTACAAATTAATAAAAATCTTATTCATTATTTTATAGGGACAATTTAACACGCTGGTCCCCGGTAACACTTAAAATTGTATATGCGGAGACAGTACACACAAAGCGTCCCCAACACTGGTCCCCAAATCTCATCCCCGGTAACACTTAAAATTGTATATGCGGAGACAGTACACACAAAGCGTCCCCAACACTGGTCCCCAAATCTCATCTTTTTTGTAGTGCAAAAATCAAACACACAGGGTACAAGATTACAACACAAAATGACTCCAAGTTCACCAAATAAGAATTATGCATCAATACTCAAACAAGTCCATGACTACACCTTGTTTTTCATCACGGTTAGAGACCCGACACTTTCTTTGCAAGATTATAATTCAGTAAAATTTAGAAAGTTTTCAAGTAAGCACGTCGTGGCTATCATATTGCAGATCCTTGCTCCTGCTTTCTAAGGTTTAATGTGCATATAAAATAAAAGAACAAAGCAATCAAAAACCAAAACGAACACATGATTAGGCAAAACAACATATGGGAATTATTTTCTGGTTAATTAATAACCAAAATCTCATGTCATAAGTAATAATCAACTTAATTAGAAGGCGTGGCTATTGGAATTTCAAATTACTACTATCAAATACCATAGTGTTATGAAATTTATGCATCCCCGTCTTCAACATGCAACCAAAGGCGGAGCCATGCGTTTTAGATAGAGGTGTTCAAATGGTATGAGTGGCTACAACATAACCATTTATGTCTAAATGTTTTTAATCACGAAACAAAAAAATGTATCCACACCAACCAAATTACCATTTGCCCATTCACTATCATTTTACAAGCAATAATAATATTGCCACCAAGCTGTTCTTAGATGTTGAAGGTAGGGATGCATCATTCTGAAGCTCATCTCTTTTCTTCAAGCCTGTTCGTTGCCGTTTTTGTGATCTTCGGGCTCCTTGCGAACTGCTTTTCTCCCATTGTGGCGTTGGTCCGGTCGCTGCATGGTGAGCTGGTGGTCGGCGGTTGGTTTTTTGGCGGCTCTATTCGGATGGTTGGCGGCGGCAGGTTGAAGAAGAGATGATAGCTAGGGTTGGTGTTGGTAGTTGTCTTTAGGGTTAATTTTGTTGGGATTTTTAGTGGTGTGAATGGAAATAAAAGGGGAAAGTTTCAAGAGAGTCTTTTGAAGTACCATGTTGGTAAGATGTGGGAAGGCATGACCTCGAATTCGATCGATTTGATGTAATATGAGATTAATTGGTTAAATTGGTTTGTGTGACCAAATGAACCAAACCAAGTTGACCCAAATCGAACCGAACCGATGAGGCGGTTGGAATAACCAAACCGGTCCAACTACCATGGACCGAACCGATGCAATGGTTCATTATTTTAAAATGAACCAATGCGTTGGTTGGGGTGTAACCACCCATATGAAGAGTTGCCTCCCTTCAATGCACCCCTTCATTTTCTATAAATAGCACCATATCCCCTCTAGTTTTAACTACGAGATACATGGATTTTTCCGATACCAAAATTCTGCCAAATCCAAAACTAGTTTTATGCATTCTTTTCAAAGAGAAAAATAGAGTCAAGTGTGGTTCTCGCCAGTTCGCTGCGTTCGATGGTTTCCGGGGTTTGAGGTACCGCTACGCTGGAAAAGGTACGTCTTTTCTATCCTGGGAGGAATCATTCCATAACCTTGGGTACTAGAGGGGAATAAGATTCTTTAAGAAGAAATAGTGAATTCTATCGGCTAGGACGCTTGCATGTGTCTTTGCATATTTTTCTTGATCTTATGTGTTTGCTTGTGTTGCAAGAAAATAGTATACGTGAACAATTTTCCACAACAATCTTAAAGAATCTTATTTTGGAATTGTTCACGGTTCTGGTTGGTTTTCAATTTACCATGCAATGAAATTGTTTTCGACTTGTTATTGAAATAGCATGTATAAAATAAGAGAGATTTTCATACCTCTTTCGGTTCCTGTATATTCAATGTTGCATGATGGTTCTGTGTTCAAGAAACCATTCCTTTTGGTAGTTCTACTTTCTACCAGTCGGTTCCCAGAAGGGTCAGAGTCATTCGGCAGTCCTTACAAGTTCAGGTAACACTCCGTTCGTCTTCCCTTTTTATATTAAACGTGTGAAGAAGATGATATATATGAATTATATATATATTCTCGGTTGCATATACTGGAAGTAGAAAAATTTGATTCATGTGACTAATCAAATTTGCCTTGATGGTATATATATATAATCTTCCATGCTTGCAATTGTTGGCACTGTGGATAATTATATATAGATCTATGTTATATATATATATATTTATCATCGTTGCATGCCACTGTTCACATATGTGTCTGCCATCAATTGGGTTGGCTGGTAGATAATGGCAAGTATCAGTAGGTTTCATGGGATGTTCGCCTGCATGCATATTTTTGTCTCTGAGCGTACTTTGTCTTGTATATATGTGAAAGATGGAGTTCATGTTTATTTGTTTAATCTTGCAAGCAAATTGGAACAAAGATGGCTGGAAGCATTCCAAAGCCACATAACCCCATCAATGTTGATGAAGATGACGATGATGTCATAGAGGTCATCAATATCGAATCAGATCTGGAGATCATTGATCTCTCTACTCCCGAAATGGAGTTTGACAATGAAGAGTGGTTCAATTTTATGACGATAGCGGGAATTTGCTATATAATGACATTGATGGAGAGAATCCAACCAATTATTGGACTCTAGATGGAATACCCATCTATGATTGGTACTCAATGGGTCCTAATGTGGATGATTTGGGCACCCATTTGGACTCGATGGAGAGTACGGGGGAAGAAGAGGAAGTTGAGGAATCGGAGAACGAGGAGGAGTACTCCGACATAGCGACCAATGAATGTCTCTCTGATCTTGACTTCGACCCCAAGAATCCTTAGGATTCTTGTATCTGTATTGTAATCTCCTTTGAGGAGTAGACATATGTATGTGTGTGTAGACACCTCATTTTGTCCGGATAAATTTATCCAACTAAAAATTCCAACTTAAATCGTGAAATGTCGTAAGATAATTAGATTGGCCATTGCAAGTCTAAAATATCAACGATTGTACAAATTATTCGAATTCGGTTCCAGTAGATCTAATAGGATCGATTGGCTTCCAATATAAGCTTTTAGCACAACACAAATAATAATAAAGAAGCACATTGTATTAAAATTACTGTTAACTCACAATTAGCATCAGAATAACAAGTCATAATTATTGCATGAGAATTACAATGTGTTCAATAAGTTTCAGGCTTTATCCACCATCTCATTTAAAGGAAATCAACCTTGGACCTGCAAAGCTAAGAAGAAAAATCAGTCAGTCCAAACTCCAGGCCCAGACTGAAAGAGCCCAACTCGGCCTAGAAGGTCATAGCCCACAGTCAGGCCCAAGATCTCATGGGTCAGATCCTGACCAGCCCAGGAAAGGCCCAACCAGACGGACTGGTCGAACCAGAACTGGTCCGACAGAACCCAGATACCACCGCCTCTTTTTCTCTATAAAAGCAGGCTCAATTTTCAAGAGAGGGACATCTTTTTGGGAGGGGGAAAAAACACTTGGGGAAACACTGTCAATTCTTTCTTTCAGCCATTTCAGAGATTTTGTTCTTCTTAGTCAGTTTAGAGAAAGGGGAAGTGCTGGGAAAATAAAAGAGAAACGCAAACACTCTTTTTTCTTTCTTCATTCTGTCAAATAGAAAGCCTCTAGCCAAACAGAAGCCCAACGAGGTTTGTATTGAGCAAAACCAGATTCATATTCTGGTTATAATAATATACTATTGATTTATTCTCTTCTCTTCTCTACTACTCTTCTCTTTTTGTCAATATCATTCTACTATTGTCATTATCAGCATCTCTTTCTTTTATCTTTCTTCACAATACTTTTAAAAATCAATCAACTCTATAACTGTACATTGACCAAACTGATTTAAAAGAGAAATCTCACCTATTCTATTTTATCAGCTCTTCAGTTTCAGTTTCATTTTCGGTCCCATTATTTACTTATTTTTAACATGATTAATATACTATCCACTAACAGCAGCTAACTACTTGAGTAACGACTCTGGTTTACATATTATTTTGCTAGTTAGCATCTGCTCATGGTCTTTACATTCAATTTTCTACTACGCTATTTACTACCTGTCGATTGCTATTCCTTTATTTATGTCATATATTTCAACTCATTTCCAGCATGTAGGTAAAAATACCATCATTCGATTGAAATAAAAAGTGGTATTCTCCAAATAATCCCAACCCTCTAAGCTCCCAGACCATTCATTCACCACAAAATCACACCAAATAAACCTCAAACACAAGATTCAGACAAACACAACCATTTTCCCTTTAATTTATATCTATGGATCATTCTCATCTCAACAACAGAATCGTTTTTTAGCTTAATCTCTCTAGCCACAGACCACAGTGAGCCCATTTAAAAAAACCTACCTCGATCTGTTCCCTTTCAAAACCCTGCACAAATTAAATCAAGTAGATCAGAAACCCAAAACTAAGAGATAATCAAAGTACAAAAAATAAAAAATCCTCACTAGGTCTGTGAGTCGCCGTCGCCGTAGCACCCTCTGCTACCGTCTTCCCGGTCTAAGTTTCCCCTAGACCCGACCCTCAAAACCCAGAAAAAAGCAGAAAGGGTGAGAACCCGAACTCCCCCAAAATCGGAATATAAAAAAATCGAGAAAACAAACATGCATGTCAAAGAGGTTTACCCGATTTTTGATTTCTTCATTATCGTCACCATTTAAACGAGAAAACGAACGGATTGAGAGTAGAGGTGCAGGGCGGCCATGGATTTGGAGTTGGGTTCGTTTTTCCTCTAACGATTAGAGTGGGTTCTTGGATACGAACATGAGAGAAGGCGAGAGAAAGAGAGAGGCGAGGAATGACGGCGGTTTTAAGAGAGTGAGGTTTTCGTTCTCTGGAGAAGAAAGGAGAAATGAAGCAGAGAGAGTAGAAAAAAACGAGAGGGCGAGGTAGAGAGAGAGAGGGGAGCGGCCGTTCGCCCAGCTGTTAGGTTAGATTAGGGTTTTCATCAGTTAAAGCTCACTTATATACCTCTGGCCTCAACCTAAATGACGGATCTACCCCTCCATGCCTTAAATCGTAAAAAATGAACGTTTTTGGTTTCGAACCGACGACCTTCACGTCATTCCTCGCCGCTACTCGCCAGAACAAACCACTGAGCTACATCACAATTCTTGAACCTTTTAGGCCCCTCGTCTAGTTTTATTCCTTATCATGCTTAATATGTAATTAATTAAACGTATTAGAAATTTTGATATAGTTAGATTGTCATTATTTTCATACATCAAAATCTTCAAATATCTTTTTCACTACGTCATTATGCATTTATATATATTTTTTTCCTAAAGATCCAATAAAATAAAATCAGGGTTAATAGTGCATAATAATTTTTTATGGTGGAATGTTTTCATAATCATTAATCAATTGATTCCAACTAACCATAACTTCTCATTTTTCGAGATATATGTCAATAGACGTAAAATCTCATCGTGTACCAATAGTATACGAAATTCAAATTATCTTAACTAGTCCAATAGGACTTTAAGTTAAATCATTAACAATTTAAACACCCAACCTTTAAAACTTATCGATTTAAGTAGTACCAATTTTTGGGCGTTGTGGGATGTGAATACACTTCTCCACACGTAACCGTACTCCCGAACCCAAATCTGTACAATTCCGAGCAAATTCGCGAGCGATCCCGATTCCGAAGGGGCGGTTGCGACAGTGTGTATATATACATATGATATTAGTATGTTTGTACCTATGTAAATCGTGTATTTACATGATGAATAAAGGACAAATGTTCTTATCTCCCAATTGGAAAATTAGTTGGATAAAACCTTACGAGTTTGTTAGGTTCCAAAATTAACCACAAAGTTTTAATGCTTTTATTGCATTGGTCCATTTCATTTATGTGGCATGGATGAATGATAAATGTGCCAATTTAATTTGGACACTTTTTCGTTCAAGGTGATGCATGAGAGGATGGAAGTACTTATGATAGTCCTTCATGGACTCTAAGTAAAAGTGGTTTGGATAGTAATAAACTATCTAGTGGGAAACTATGAACAATCATAGGTGTATAAAACCTATGTCGCGATGCTAGTGGGGACTTCTGTGTCAAATCTATCTAAGCCAGAATGTTTGCATAGGTTATGTTCAAAGTAAGTTGAACATAGTTATGAAAGAGTATACCTCCAATGTGTTGGAGATGAAATTTGGTTAATGCACGTTTAAAGGATTGCATTACGAGTAAGTCATAAGCGATAAGGAATTCTAATTCCTAAGATGCTTGTGATGACATAATAATTTGTTTATCATGTATGTGGTTTAGGACTTGATGTTTCCTATGCCATGAGGGCAAGGAAAATGAAGCTGTGATTGATCCTTATATGGATTTAATAAGCTTGCCAAATGATGGTCGTCATCAAGATAAGCATTAGGTCAGAATTGCTTATAGTATAAGTACACTATGCCATTGGAAAACAATTTGACTATGATTATCAACGTGGAGCTAATTGCCAGAATTGTTTATGGTATATATAGATGTATATCATTGGAAAACAATTTGGAATGAGAGCTCAATTGAGATGATCTGATTGAACTTAAAGACTGGATTACTTGTGGAATATTTATGAAGTTTATAACATTGGAAAGTAATTAGACAATTGAATTAGAAATTCGTTTGAATTACTTGTGATATATCATGTTACATATATGAAATGTCATTGGAAAGTAATTAGATGGGATTTCCATTACTGGAATGCATCTGAATTACTTATGACGTCTCAAGTTGCCTTGATCAATACCATTGGTAACTAATTAGATGATTTTTCTAATAAAATCTGAATTGTTTGTGGTATGCTAATCGAGTGAGATCATACCATTGGTAAATAATTAGATACATATAGTGGTTGGCAAGTTCAATAAGTAAAACCAGGGAAATAAATGGGATTATTCCATGATGTTTGGCAAAGAGTAGAATTGTGGGGGAGAAGAGCTAGCCATTGGTTCGGCTACTATCTTAAGACCCTACAATGGGACGCAAACCTATCCATTAGACAAAAGTGGAAAGGTAAGCGAAGTCATACTTGAAAGTATGAAGGTGTCCAATGAGAAAGTGAGAGTCCTTAAACCTTGTGGAGTTAACCCAGTCCAAGGGTATAACTTATGAGTAAACTCTAGCATATATTGACGTTTTGTCAGAGAGCTAGAATATTTATTGATGTTGATCCACTCTTCCCAAAGAGATGATTTTGACCATATACATGAATGTATATGAACAACATTCTTCAAACCGGAAACGTTGGTTTCAACAACTATGGCAAAATATTTGAAATGTGGGGGATAAATTGGGGAGAAGTGATGTGGAATGTCGCTTGGGTGATTCCAAAGTGAATTGATGTGAATACTTAGGAGTTTTACGTAAACCCTAAGTTAAGTCATAGATGTCACTACATTTGAAGAGATACTTGTGAAACTCAAGTACTCTAAGGTTAATGAAGTAGAGAGACTTCAACACCGTTGGCATGTGTTATGATTATTGCAAGGCAATAAAATCAAGGCAAACACACATGATGTGTAGTGAATCAAAAGAGACGAGTCTTTGGTGTATTTTACCCAAAGGAACTCACTGGGTGAACCAAAAGCCATAGTCCATTAATGGATAGACATTTATGGTTAACGAGGAGCAGTATCTTGGAAAACGTCCAAGTTAAACTCTAAAACTGGTGAAGTTGAATAGTCTGGCCCGCAAAGACTGGCGTTAATAAAACGCACTTGTGCACAAAATTGTTTTTGCAAGGGCTAGAAGTGTTATGTGAAAAAAAACTCGTCATTGATAATGGAAACATAACACTAAGGTCAATTTCTAGCGAAGTTATCTAAGTTGATCATGTAGATCAAGTGATAACAAATGAGGGGCCCACCTAGAAATTATTTAAAGCATCGAAGGGAATGGACTCGTGGCCTAGGACAAATCATCATGGCGGTAACTCTACCTAAGCAGGATTGGCAGACCCAACCTCTAGGTTCAAGGAGAAAACAAAGTTGTGAATGATGGTCCGACATTGTCAAATTATTCAAAGTCCATTCTCATGATGAGACAATGTCCAACTATAAGGGTAAACCTAAAGATAGAAGGTTTTTAATGGTTTCTAAGTTTGACACATGATGTGATCAAATAGTGTATTTTCGGAATACACGTTTAGAAATCACCTATGTGAGTGTGAAGTGGAGCCGCTTCAAGGAGAATAAAAGAAGGTCAGTTCTCTAAGCACTCAGGAGACCAGGCGGTGTTCATGGCTAAAGCGAACACAACAATGAGAACCAGTGAACGGATAAGAGTTAGTTGTGTGACATATGTTGTCTTAGTATGCAAGAAAAACCGACGGTTCAAAGATATCATATCTACTGATTGGTGAGTATACTCGATATATGTTCACTATGGAAGGTTCAAAGGGAAACCCACCTATCCAGATGCAACTAATTCTTAGTTGAGAGTCACACTATTTTTACATAGTTTTCAAAACTTGCATTCTCCATTCATGTGGGGGATTGTTGGGATTTTTAGTGGTGTGAATGGAAATAAAAGGGGAAAGTTTCAAGAGAGTCTCTTGAAGTACCATGTTGGTGAGATGTGGGAAGGCATGACCTCGAATTCGATCGATTTGATGTAATATGAGGTTAATTGGTTAAATTGGTTTGTGTGACCAAATGAACCAAACCAAGTTGACCCAAATCGAACCGAACCGATGAGGCGGTTGGAATAACCAAACCGGTCCAACTACCATGGACCGAACCGATGCAATAATTCATTATTTTAAAATGAACCAATGCGTTGGTTGGGGTGTAACCACCCATATGAAGAGTTGCCTCCCTTCAATGCACCCCTTCATTTTCTATAATTAGCACCATATCCCCTCTAATTTTAACTACGAGATACATGGATTTTTCCGATACCAAATTTCTGCCAAAATCCAAAACTAGTTTTCTGCATTCTTTTCAAAGAGAAAAATAGAGTCAAGTGTGGTTCTCGCCGGTTTGCTGCGTTCGATGGTTTCCGGGGTTTGAGGTACCGCTACACCGGAAAAGGTACGTCCTTTCTATCCTGGGAGGAATCATTCCATAACCTTGGGTACTAGAGGAGAATAAGATTCTTTAAGGAGAGATAGTGAATTCTATCGGCTAGGACGCTTGCATGTGTCTTTGCATGTTTTTTCTTGATCTTATGTGTTTGCTTGTGTTGCAAGAAAATAGTATACGTGAACAATTTTCCACAACAAATTTGGGCTCACTGTGCGGGCTCTGGGTTTTGGGCTTCATTCTCGGTTTCTTTTTGAAACATTTGTAAGGCCAGTAAGGGCTTTGTTTGTGGGCTTTCTTTTTCCCTTTTGATTTCTACTTTATCTTTCCATGGGTTTTACCCTAAACTTTGTACTCACTTATGAAGTGCAATATACGCAGCTTCTTGTAAAAAAAAAAAAAAATCATATAAGATCTTTGCACACAAGGTTAAATCATTCATCATGGTCGGCAATCAATGCTAAGTTTAGCAGTCATATAAGCTGTTTTCCTCCAAAATTCTCCAGAGATCACCAAACATGTTATATGCTTTCCTCCAAAATTCTCCACTTACCCTCTTGGTTCAATGATTAAATAATCGATAATCAATCACTACTTAGCTTAAAAATAGTAGGAAAAGTGTCGGAAAAAAAATCTTCTCTTGCGCAGATATGTCTGGAAACATCCGGAGGCCCTAGGAATTCAATGTCTTTTCTATCAGGTGAATCTACATACAGTAAGTTAGAAGCCTTCCCCGGCAACCTCATCTTCAAAATCTTTTTTCTGATGGGAAAAGAGCGTCCATGCCACCTTCTATGTACTTATTCTTCAAGTCATTCAGATCACGAAACCAACCTACGCACAATCAAAACCAGAGAATTATTTAAAATGAAAGATGAGCAAAGTTATTCAGGGAGGGCTGCA